GCCGCCCCGCCCCGCCCCGCGCCGCACCTCACTGTCCACCGCCGGCCCCTGCCCCTCACGCACCGTCGCCGTCGCCGTCCCCGACACCGTCGCCGTGAGCAAAATTTTTGCTAATTTAATTTGATGTTAGTAGTAGTTAATTTAGATGTGTAGTTAATTGAGTTAGATTTTGTTATTTTTTGTTAGATTTTTTTGTAGTTCATAGATTTTTTTTGTTAGATGTGTAGTAATTTAGATGTGTATATAGTTCATAGATTTTTTCTGTTAGATTTTTTTATATTGCGTAATTAATTTGTTTATATTGTTTTTAGATTTTTTCTGTTAATAGATTTTTTGGTAATATTATTGTTGAATATGCATTTTTGTATGTTCATATATATGCAAAGATCGAATATGTCAATTTTTTATAATTTTTTTATGTTCATAGAATTTTTATGATTTTTTTCTGTTGTAATTTTGTTCATAGAATTTTAATGTTTTTTTGTTCATAGTATTTTCTTTGTCAATTTATGTATATGTTCATATTGTGTATGTATAGGAAAGTTGTGCATGATCAAAGTCATTTATGAATATGTTCATATTTAGAATAGAGGAAAAAGAAAAAAAAGAGAAAGTGTTTTTATAAGTAGTTAGAAAAATAATAGAACTATAGTTAAACTAGTTTATTTTTAGTAAATACTACTTTATTTTATTTATAGTAAGTGCTTCATATATAGTTGAACTAGCTAGTTGATTTAATAAACTACTTTATTTTACTATATATAGAAGTAGTTTGTTTTTAGTAAGTACTACTTTATTTATTTATAGTAAGTGCTTAGTAGTTGAACTAGTTGATTTAATTAATAAAACTACTTTATTTAACTATATATAGAAGTAGTTACCGCATCGACGTCGACGATGCCTAGCCCGCATCCTCGTCGTCGTCGACTCGGCGGTGGAGGCCTGCTTGATCAGGGCCATGTTCGGGACTAGGCTCCGCCGGGCTGGTATTGGGAGGTGCTACCTTCCGGGGGACGTAGGTTGGTGAGGAGGCAGCCCGTTGTTGACCCGATCCTTGTTTGGTGGCAGTCGCGTGGGCCAGTGACGCTGCCGAGGCTTCCGGACACCGCGGAGGTGGTACGTCACCGCGTCAGCGAGGAGGACGAGCACGTCCGTCACTACATGGTTGCATTGGAGGGCAGGTTCGACAATACTTGGCAGGTTCTTCAAGGATATCACTGGACCTATGATCCTGTGATGGTTCCTTATCTTTGGGTGTCCACCGCCCGCGACAATACCCGTCGGGCGCTACGGTTCTAGCTGTATTAGCGATGCTATATGTATGGTAGTATTCGAGGAGTATTAGTGATAATATTCGACGATGTACGGACACAGGAGATGATGTGTTTTTGGTTATAATTGAATGCATGCTAATTTGAATACTATTTTATTTGAATACTATTTTATTTTATGATTAGGTTTTTCTTATTGAATGCTCATATTGGAAAAGTACTCCTACTTTGAATGCTAAAATTGAAGAGCAGTCTATGCATAAATCTAGGAGCCCCCTCCATCATCCACGCCGTCGTGGGGGTAGCTTTTCCTTCATTCCCGTGTGCTAGACAATTTGGTGTAATAATGCACTCGGGAATGAAAGGAGGAGCTACCATCACCGATAGTCAACCCGTGATTAATAATAATAATCTAATTTAGGTTTTTTAGTACATATATTTAATTGTACAAGTTTAATATTTGAATTACGAACATAGGCCGGAAATGTCGTACTCGGACGACAAAAACCGCCCGGGGGAGTGCGACTGGTGCCACGACGACCGAGGTATGTGCGGCAGGTTCCTTGAGCTGGACGAAGATCAACGCTTCAGCATTAAGCTCGAGGAGACCTTCGATGTTCATACGGTACGCAACGACGACAATAGTTTTTTCATAATTAAGCACGACTTCAATTATTTTAACGTGTATTTTTCATCTTTTCGAATTCGACTAGCTTATCCCATGCTATGCAAGACGCTATGTCTTGGAGAGGATGGGTTTTGAAGACCATGAAAGTATGGAAACCAAAAAAATTCACCTAAGGACCCATCATGGTGTGGATTTTGAAGTACAGTTGTACAATGCTGAGAGTGTAACCCATTTTAGTTGCAAAAATTGAGAAGCACTTTGCAAGATGTATGGTTTTGATGAGGGTATGCTTGTCACCATGGATCTTGGTGATCCTACAATCGAGCAAGACAATATGGACATTTGGGTCCTTGTGGATACACCTCCAATTCTTCCTCCACGTGAGCTTAACATAGTTATTAAGTAATTTATATTGTTTATTTCAAAATAGTTGACATCTTATTTCCATTGACAGCTTATTTTCATTTTTCAAAGAATGTGCGGAAGATGGTAGACAAAACCCACTACACCGATGGCTCCGAATTAACTTATAAGGAGAAAATCATCCGATCGCATTTTGTACTGATCTTGAGAATTACAATGTCTACAATTGAACTCCTCAACATTATGGTCAATACGTGCCACTAGTGCACGTGTTGAACTACGGTAACTACCATGGAGATACCCTGGTAAGATTTTTTACTATTACGACATCCGTGCATCTTTTTGCATACTTCTAAAACTAGTACATCATTGCTAACTACGAAGTTATTACTATGTTTTTCAACAGATAATCCCGAACAATTGTGTGCCTCATCTGAAATAACGCACGGTTGCCTTGATGTTTTGAACATACAACCAGGTCGTCCTATGAATCTCAACTGTCCATACCGGATTTCTAAAAGAAGTGGAGACATGACAATCAAAGAATGGAAAAAAATGTATGAACAGTCATAAGGAGCTTCTTGGAAGCAAAAGGAAGCGAAGCGCAAGAATTGGAGACAGGATGATCTCCATTCTTCATAATGGAGAGTCAGGGTCTATATTGTTTTATGCTATTTTATCTTAAGTGTGTTTAGGTCTACCTGATACTGATGATGTGCTAAGAACAATTATGTAGGATTGGGTTCGACGACTATGAGTATGATGATCGTATGACTTGTTATTGATAATGAATAGAAGTTGTATGATGATGCATGATTAGTAGGACTTGTTATTATATATGATGATGTATGATGCGAGCATGAAGAGTTATTATATATCAGCGGGTGAAATGAACATAGCAGTAGCGTTGGTAAACCAAGCACGATGATAAGAGAGGACACTTCTTTCTATTAGCTAGCTAATAACAACCTAAATTAACCCCCAAAACCCCTAAACCAGCCACTTTCAAAAAAAAAAAACCTCAGCTGCGGCCAGCTTCTGACGCGTGGATGCCTTTTGGTCCCGGTTTATGTCACCAACCGGGACCAAAGGGCCCCCCTGCCTGGTGTCCCGGTTCGTGTATGCCCATTTGTCCCGGTTCGTGTAAGAACCGGGACTAAAGGGGGAGGCATTAGTAACGACCTATTAGTCCCGGTTCAAGAACCGGGACTAAAGGCCCTTACAAACCGGGACAAATGCCCCGTTTTCTACTAGTGAAGGCATTGAGAAGATACTAGTCCAACTTGTGGGAGCAGTTATGAAAGTTAGATATCTTTTAAATCTATTTGTGGTTCTTGTTTTCGTTGGTTTTGCTATTCTAGTCAATTGGTGAAAGTACTTCAATGTATCAAAAGAATCGTTGATGAAATAAAATAAGAAGGCAGCCCAAAAAATGCATGCGGACGAGATGCGGCTAAGATGAGGCCTCGCGTTGGGCGCACGGTTTATGCATCCATGAAAACGGCCGAACACCGCCCGGTGCTATACCCAAAGTGATGAAATTCGGACCAAACGGATGCCCGGGCCGTAGGTTAGAGTTGGCCTAATTGCCAACGGACACGCACACACTCATAACTCTCCTCCCCTCCACTCTCTCTCTCTCTCTCTCTCTCTCTCTCTCTCTCTCCACCACAGTGCACTACCCACATTGCTCTCTCTTGATCTCTTCTCTCTCCTGGCTGCCTTTTTAAGCACCTCTGCGCCCTCCACCACCTTACACAGCACAGCACAACCTCACTGATTCATACGGCTAGCAAGCGAGCTTAGCCAACCACACGCCTCCTATCTAACTCCCCCCGGCCGGCCTTCTCTTCTTGAGCTCCGACCGACCACTTACTCGGGCCATGATGAGCGGCGGTAGGATGAACACAGCAGCGAGCGACGACTTCCGCTTCGCGGCAATGCAGCCACCGTCCAGGCCGGCGGAGGAGGAGACCAGCGCCACCAGGGCGCCATGATGTACGACAACTTCGACTTCGCGGCGGCTGCCGCCGCCTTCGGCCAGTTCCAGGACGCGCCGCACCACCAGATGCTTGGGCTCCCGCGGAACGGGAGCGGCGCCTGTGGGCTCGTCCCAATGGCTCCGCCGACCATGCCCAGGATGCAGCTGCAGATGCCGCCCATGGCCATGCACGGCCAGGGCGACGTGTACCCGGCGCCCGGGATGGTGAAGCGCGAGGGCGGCGGTGCCGGGGACGCGGGGAGGATCGGGCTGAACCTCGGCCACCGGACCTACTTCTCCCCCGGGGACATGCTGGCCGTGGACCGTATGCTGATGCGGTCCCGTCTCGGCGGCGTGTTCGGGCTGGGATTCGGCCGCGCCCACCACCAAGCTCCTCGGTGCCAGGTGGAGGACTGCAAGGCGGACCTCTCGGGCGCCAAGCACTACCACCGGCGCCACAAGGTCTGCGAATACCACGCCAAGGCCGCCCTCGTCTCCGCCGCCGGCAAGCAGCAGCGCTTCTGCCAGCAATGCAGCAGGTCAGAGTCAGACCCCATAGATTCCCATATCCCTCTCTCTAGAAACTAAGATGACTCATGTTCTTGCACAAGTATACTCCGTATAGCTTAGCTAGGTTGCAGCTTGGCCAGTGGGAACTGTTTGCCTTTTCAGTCTTCACTCTGTTTTTGGTTCATCTAGCTTGTCCGTGTTAGAGACGACCCGTCATGTCAAATAAAAAAGACAACACAAAACACTACTCCATGCATGTAGCACAAACATGAGCTTTTCCTTGCCGTTTTCCGGTCCTGGGCGATCGATCAATGGAGACAGGGTCACGAAAAGAAAAAGAGATTGAAAAGGGAGCGTTCTTTGGTCTAGCTGCAGACTCCAGACCGCTGCGTGCCCTGGCCATATCTCTGCTTTTTCTTGCATTGACCAATGTAGTGTGGCGGTGCCAGTGGCGACTAGACTTTTGCATATGGGTTCACACGCATGCATCACTTGTTGAGCTAGCTAGAATTTTAAGTTATCTTTTGGTACATACAACTTGAATTTTATGTTTCAGCTTTCTTAAGTCTGAGTCGACTGTCTCGGTCTTGCATGAAGATTCCTACAAATAATTTCTTTTCAGCTTTTTTTTCTTTGCATACTATACCACTTGATTGAGATTTGATTAAATCTCAATCAACTGAGACCTAGACATGCCCAAGCTAAACATAAAAGGCGTGTAATTCGGATTGGATTTAGGTTCCACATGCTCACGGAGTTCGACGAGGCAAAGAGGAGCTGCCGGAGGCGGCTCGCAGAGCACAACCGTCGCCGGAGGAAGCCGGCGCCTGGCAGCACGGCGGCGTTGTCCAAGGATTCGGCTCCACCTTCCAAGAAACCCAACGCCGGCGCCATCTCCAGTTCCTACACTGCCGACAACAACAGTAAGATGACACGGTCGCTTTATCTAATTCCTAGTGCAACGATCATCATTTATCGGGGCTAATTTGTACGTACGTACGATCTGTTGATCAGCTTTGAGCACGACGAAGTCGACCATCTCCTCCAACACGAGCGCGATCAGCTGCCTCCAGCAGAGCCAGGCCAGGGAGGTAGCCTCGACGAGGCCGACGACGCTCACCCTCGGTGCGCCGCTGGAGGAGGACGATGAGCAGCAGCAGATCAGGAACGCCATGCAGCTCCACCACCATCAGGAGCAGCAGCACTTCATCACCTCCCTCTTGCACAACAACATCAATAACAGCAACATTCTGTCGTGTTCCTCGGTGAGCTCCAGCACGATGCCATCGGCGGCGGTGGCGGCCAATGGCGAGGTCTCCGACCAGAACAACGACAACGCCAACAACAGCATGCATATGTTTGAGGTGGACTTTATGTAGATGTTGAATCTTGAGCATTAGGCTTAACATAATTATGATCTAACAACAGTTAGAACACCACAGTAGATTGTAAGTGGAAGTGTTCTGTTTTCACCGGTTATAGGGCGAGGTCGAGTGCATTGGTGTATTGGTGGGGTTAAACATCAACGAAACAGTGTACTAATTCACCCTTTTAGCAGCTCAGTTTATAGTGAACTTTGAGATAGTTTTAGCCAACAAGTAAGCAATGGAATAACAGACCAATAAGCACAATGGCACAATATTTGTACCTGAAATAACCTCCACAAAACGGGAGTGAAAAATACGGGCACGGACGAACCGTCCCATACAACTTTCACTATGACAATCATGGAACACGGTCTTATCTACTTCCTCCGTTTCTAAATATAAGTCTTTTTAGAGATTTCTCTACAAAATACATATGGAGGTAAAAGACAAGACTTATATTTAGAAACGGAGAGAGTAGAAACTATACACTCAACACCTTGCCAACGAAATCACAAGTGGCAAGAAAACAACAAAACAGAGTTAATGCGCGTTTTGTTACCTCCGATAACCTATGAGCTACTCTCAAACCGCTTAAGCAAATGGCACGGAATTAGGTAGATTATCAGATAGATAAGCTCGCAATATATACAAATCAAATTTCATCTCAACAGATATTTTTTGACCCAGTGTGCATGACTGATACGTCTCAAACGTATATATAATTTTTAAAGTATTTCATGCTATATTTATATCATTATTGCATAGTTTTGCCATCAATTTTTTATCTTTTTCTAAACTAACATATCAATATAGTGCGCATTGTCAGAGGGGGGAATCAATCTTCATCGACCTCTCCATCATCCCTTGCTGCTCCTATGATGATCCGACAGTAGTCCATCCTTGGGGCTGGAGGTTTTTTTTTATGGGAACATTGCATTCCATTAAACTTCAGCCAGATCGCTAGCAATAATGTTCATGATACATGGAGGAGCATCACCCTCCCAGAATGAGTCTGCATTCTCACAACTCACACCAAACCTTGCCAACTCATGAGCAACAGTGTTACAAGCCCGCCGGCCAAATGAGAAATTAAAGGAAACAAAGTTTAAAATACTTAAACTCCTAGCTTCTTTCACCAGCACACCAATCGTCGACTTGTCATACTCATAGCTGTTGAGCGCTTGTACCAATACTGAAGCATCAGACTCGAAGATGATCTTGTTTGCGCCCACCCTGATGGCGCCATCGATAGCAGCGAGACAAGCAACAGCTTCAGAATGCAGAGGAGACCTCAAATGCACTGAATTACCCGCGCCAGCAGCAACGAAATCGCCCGCCTGATCGCGAATGACATAGCCCCATCCTCCAGAACCACTGATCTGGGAAAAAGCCCCATCAAAGTTCACTTTCACAAAGTTCTCAGGGGGTTTAACCCATCTGCTAAGGTCAGGTGGTTTTGGTGGCTTATCTGGCACCCTGAGCATCAAGAAATCCCACTCCCAGGCTTTCCACTCTGTGGCAAATAGTTTGGGTATTTGGAACCACCTCCCCCGCATTGGCCTTGTTCCTTACATTCCACCATTCCCACATAAAGATTGTAGCTTTCAACTGTATATTTTCGTCACACTTCCAGAGCTCCTCAAACATATGGTGAGCCGAGCTGCAGGGCAGGAGCTTCTCACGCGTCTCCCCCAGCCCCAGCCTCCCCCAACACTCCTTAGCATGTTTACACTTTAGAAAGATATGGCCACCGTCTTTATTTTTCCTGTGACAAACCGGGCACGAGGTGTCCAGCTCGATCCCAATCCTCACGATTTTCATCCTGAGTGCCAAGCTGTTGTGGGCTAGCCGCCAGACAAACATCTTCAACTTGTTTGGGACTCTCATCTTCCAAATGTGGTTCCAATCAAAATTTACCTGACACTTTCCCGTACTCACTCTGGAGCAGGCAGCATCACTGCCACAGCTTCTATCCCTGAGCATTACCCCCACTTTGTAGGCAGACTTTACAGACTCTGGGGCTGGAGGTTTGTACATGTACCTATGTGCGCTCTCTGTCTCCCTCTCTCTCTCTCTGTTCATTTCTTATGATGATTGTGATGATGGGCTTTCTTAATGGATTTGAATTATGTGATGTATCCCTCATATTATCTTTTGTGGTGAATTAATTGAATATCGCTCATCTATCAGTTTACTTTATGTTGGATTGAATCTTTTGGGAGTCATGGCTAATATAACTTACAGAGACCAGTACTGACATTGGGGTAACTCTTTTGATAATAGGTTAGAATCATAAAGATCATATGGTGTTCTTGAAGTATTAACTTCCGCGGCAGCCTGTGACATTGGGATGGTTCAATAGATTAAGATTAGAAATATGACTTTGAGGCGGTTGGCTATTTGCACACATACACGATCTCATACTACTTTGATCTCATAAAAAAAGAGAAATATTGGGGTGCTTCTTTACTATGTGTTTTGAGGCCATATCATGTGCTAGTAATTATGTTAATGATCTTGAGGGTAGAAACTAGTGAAAGTATGAACCCTAGGCCTTATTTCCAAGCATTGAGGCGCCATTTTACTCATTTTTACTAATGTTTACCTTGTCCTATTTTCTTCCAAAAATCCAAAAATATTGTTATCATCCAAACTGTTTATCTATCACTTGAGTATCAAATGCTTCACCAAACTAGTGCAAATATACAATTAACAACTATATTAGGTGTGTTGGGGAAGAGACTACTTGTATTTAATTGCAGGCTTGTTTGAGAGGCATCACGTTCAACCTAACCTCCCATGGATTGATACACTTTAGGTCATCCACTTAAGGCCTCGTTTGGCACAGGGGGTTTCGGGAGGTTTCGAGAGGACAATCCCCGCGAGGGCCAGAAACCCCACAAAAACTCGACGGCCCGTTTGGTAACCGGGGTTTGTGCAGCCCAATTCCCTTCTTTCCCCTTCAATCCCCTCCTACCCACACGTTTCAGGACCCTCGTCGAGGGACTCACGGAAGCACATCCCCGAGCGCAGCGCACGCCTCACCCACCCGCCGCCACCAGGTTCTCCACGCGCCACCATCCGCAGCCTCCTCCACGCCGGCCGGAGCGCCTCCCCTCCTTTTCTCTGGTATGTAACTCCGCGCTGCCCCCTCCCGCCCCCCTTTGCTGGTCATAGTCTAGGGTTCTAGACCTCGACCGAGCATGCCGGTGTTCGAGTCATGGGCGAGGCATGCGCTGCGCTCGGGGCCAGGCGGCCGGACGCGGCCGTGCAGTCTCTGTGGGTTGCGTTGGCCAGCTGCTCGCCGGAGAAAGCCGCGGGGGTCGCCAATCTCGATGCTGGCCATTACGTCTGCGCAGCTGCACAGGAGCAGCACCAGGCTCAGAAGTAAAGTAGCAGGAAATGAGATGACTGCTCACCTAGTCATCTCAACAAGATTGGTTTTCTCTACTGGATCCTTGTTCACATAATTGGGAATAATTAGTACAGTAGCACTCATTAGTAAGTATATGTAGTAGATCATAGATGCATGGAGTTGTAGTGCAGAATAAAAATATATGATCAAACGCTTTTTAAGTTTATTGTTGCAATGGCCATCTTCGGAAGCAGGAATTTTACAGTTTGATTCCTACATAAATCATCAAAAAGGGAAAAAATATTTATGCTCCAGAAAGGGTCTTCATCAACCCAGTTGTGAAACGTTCATATCTTTTGTATAGCCAATTACAAAATATTCAGAGCAGTGTGTCATCAGCTCTTATTAATCTCCTGTCAGCAACTTGGTGTACAACCGGCTTCTTTGAGCACTGATTGTAGAGGGAAAAGGGCATCAATGAAACTCTGTTTAACCATTGTGCTTCGCTCAACACCCTGAACTAATTATTTCTCCTAAAATGTGCGCGAGAAAACAAACAACTGTAATCTGACTCTACATATTGTGATAATTGTTAAATAATAATGCCAATGTAATATTGAGTTGTAATATTCAGTTGGGGTTCAAGTGCTGTTGTTATATCCGTGGTCGTTTGTAAGTTAACAGCTGCTACTGCTAGTGTAAGGTTCATGGTAGAACTGTACTATACTTGCAACTATTAGTAATATGACATGTCAAGTTTTTACTGAATTTAATTTCCAGGGCAATATTTCATTGCGAGCTTTTAACACATTCTAAGAATTTTAGAAGTCCAGCCGTATTCTAGTTAGTTTCAAATGTGCTTTGCTTCACTTTGGAAGATGTCAGTTGTTTAACTCTGTGATCTGCTCGAGATTATTTTTGTTTTGTTCTGATTTCCGAACCTTGTGCTTCCGCCTTTCACAATTCTGTTGAATTTTCCATTGAGCTAGGCCTTGGTTTAATTCCATCGTCTTGCTGTACATGTGTACTACTTTTTTCTGTTGAATTGTTTTGATCGGATGTTGGGTGCCAACTGATACCTGATCGTTGCCGTTTCATTTCATACAATTCCTTGTCACTATATCGGTTGATGAGATATTGATTTCAAGTCATGCAATATTTCTGGTGGGAAAAACTGTTACTAAATTATTCCCTAGAGCAACTTTGTCTCATTTTTATTAAGTGACCTTTACAATTCTGCAGCAAGGATGTAAGGGGAGTTTGTTACATTGGAAAGATTGGATTTTTAAATGTTCTACAACATGTTATGTCAATATGACAAACCCTGCCTACCAAACAGAAATTTTAAACAAAGAGGAATGTGGATGGAGGGGTTTTGGGTATTCAAGGGGTTTTGAGGGGATTGGGTGGAAGGAAGGGATTCACCCAATCCCCTAAAATCCTCCCCTCCCAAAACCTCCCCAATCCACTTCTACCAAACAAGGCCTAAGGGAAGTTTCCTTTGTTGGAGGGCCTCCTCACTTCCTTGTGTCGTTTGGCGGTGAACTTTGGTATATTATATGCTTTATCTATAAAGCGAATGAAAAGCCTGTTTCACGAGACCATTGCACCATAAAACTCCAAAGTGTAATGTTTCTTTACACATTCGTAACACAGT